CCCCCCCAAAAAAAAAGAAAGGGCAATTAAATTAAATTAAATATTACGCCATGTAAATGTCAAATAATTACTCCGTAAATAAATAAATAAACAAAAGAAATACCCATAATAATTTGGTATGGCCAGAGAGAAGGGGAGGAGAAGCCATGAAAGACATGCGGGCAAAAGAAAGACAAACCAAAGAACACAACAAATCCTCACGCGAAGAACAAGGATCTTCTTCAACCCTTCTGCCTACGTAAATCCCCTTTGTTCTTATTATGTTCTTCTTAATTTCTTCCCTGTCTGGCTCTTGTCGCATTTGCAACTCCATTTCCCATTTCCATTAAATTCTCTTCATTTCTTGAAACATGTTTATGTTCTTGCTGATCTCACGTGTTTTCTGCAAATGAACATCGCATATCTGCATGATTCTTCGGCATGTTAGCTGGAATCGTGTTCAATTTATGCTTCTACATTTTAAAAAATTGGGTTTTCAGATTATTCCCATATATCTTTGTTTCTTTTGATCAACAATTTCGAATCTTGGCTTTCTTTATCAAGAGAAAAATGATACCCTAAGCTCGGATTTCATGTCTGCTTGCATATTCATAATGTAATGAGTTCATGGTTGTGGTAAAAATGGTGTCTTTGGTAGGTTTCAGGGAATTTTTTTTGTTGGGGATGAGCAGGAAAAGGTTATAATGGGGCCAGATCAAAACTGAGCCAGAACAGATATGGACACTACGAGAAGGAGTTGGTTGCAGAAGCTTCAACCGCGGAATTCTTCGAGCAAGGAGAGTGATTCAATGGGGGCAGGAACCGAAGAATCTAAGCAGTTATCTGCTGAAGAAGCTTCAAACATTACAAAGCAGAAGGTGGCTGCTGCAAAGCAATACATAGAGAATCATTACAAGGAGAAAATGAGAATTTTGCAGGAGAGGAAGGAGCGGTATGGGTTACGTAAATACATACTACTCCATCCGCCCCAATTTGTAGTGTGTTTTCTTTATTTATTGTGTCTTGTTCCATTTACAGAAAATATTACACTGTTCGTACCGTTTCTCTCGGCTTTGCTTAAATCCCAAAATCACAATTTTCAATTTATTGATCATCGTGCCCACTCAGGTGGTTTGGGCACGTAAGGAGGAGAAGCTTCTAGAAGCTAGACTGACATGGTTTTGGTACATCGTGAGGAGATGTGAGAGACTAGCGGTATTGGGCGCGATAAGGGGTAGATTTAAGAGGAGTTGGAAGGAATTGATTAGGCACGACTTATGACTTTAGGATCTTACTTAGTACATGACCTTAGATACGACCGTTTGAAGATCTAGGATAAGATTACCTGGGTAGACCTTTGGGCCTTAATTTTTAGTGTATGATAGTGCGTTTTTTTCTTTTTTCTCTGGCATGTAGCTTGTGCATGTCTACTTTATGTGTTTTAGGTCTTGTTGCTAGTATCGGTATGCATGCATCTTGTGCCTGTGCTCTTGCTTAGTTCGTGCTAATGTGTTTGCTATCAAGTAGTCCCCAAACTCTACTTTCTTGTGGCCAAAATTTGATACTTCTTGTTTGGTATGCAGTCGAAGCGTGCTTGAAAAGAAACTTGCTGATGCCGATGTTTCAGAGGAAGATCAGAATAATCTGCTAAAATATTTAGAGAAGAAGGAGACAGAATTTATGAGGCTCCGGAGGAACAAAATGGGAGCTGGTGACTTTGAGCTACTAACTATGATTGGGAAGGGTGCTTTTGGGGAGGTAATTTTGATAATCATGTTATCTGTCTCATCTAATGTGTGTTTTCCCTTGCTCATATGGGTCATATCATACCTTATGTAGCTCAAAATTGTTTATCGGATCCAAATTTCCAAACTTTAGTTTATCTGTCTTAATCTCAATGGTAATTGTTGATAGTCCATTAAACTCAATCTTTTTAGTATGTCGTTAGTATGATCAATCAAACTCAATCTTTCTATATAGACCATAAAACTCATCTTGAGAGGGGAATATATAGAATCTCATGGATTGGCTTCTTTCTTGTACAGGTAAGAATTTGCAAGGAAAGAACAACTGATCATGTGTATGCAATGAAGAAACTTAAGAAATCAGAAATGCTTCGCAGAGGACAGGTGCGTAATCATCTTCCTAAACCATGGTTTCAGAGTATGTACATTTACAAAGAACACACGCTATTAAAATATCTACACGGAGGATAATAAAGAAAAAGTCTAATCTTGAACTTGTTGGTTTTATCAGGTCGAACATGTCAAGGCCGAAAGGAATCTGCTTGCAGAGGTTGATAGTAATTGTATAGTCAAGCTGTATTGTTCCTTTCAAGATGAAGAGTACTTATACCTCATCATGGAATATTTGCCCGGTGGAGATATGATGACTCTACTTATGAGGAAAGATATTTTAACCGATGATGAGGCGAGATTTTATGTTGCAGAGACTGTTTTGGCCATTGAATCCATCCATAAACACAACTATATTCACAGGTCATCATTTTTGTGGCTAATTTGGTACATATTTTAAAACTTCTATTGTCATATATATACTTTGTGACACTGTATATATTGTTTTCCACAGAGATATTAAACCGGATAACCTCCTACTGGATAGATATGGCCATCTGAGACTGTCAGATTTTGGGCTTTGTAAACCTTTAGATTGCAGTACTCTACAAGAAAAGGATTTCTCCATGGGGGATAATAGTGGTGAAGCTTCAAGGTCCGATGATCACTCTCAAGCTCCAAAACGCACCCAGCAGGAACAGTTACAGCATTGGCAAAAGAACAGGAGGACACTCGTACGCATTTCCTTATACTGATTTAAGTTTTTTTTATTATTATTTTTAATTAAAAGAAAGTCACTTCATTTGTTAATTTTCATCGTTCTTGAAATGACTACTTCAGGCTTATTCCACTGTGGGTACACCAGACTATATTGCTCCAGAGGTTTTGCTGAAGAAAGGCTATGGGATGGAATGCGACTGGTTAGTATGTTGTACGTTAGCCAGTCCATTGTTGCGTCTTTTTTTTTCCTCTCTCCATATTTCAAGTATATGATAACACCACTTTAAGGTCATTGGTTCGTGACTAGTATATGAGATCATCCAAACATCAAATTCTATTTTGTTCTTGAGGATGTCTAAATACGAGCACAAAGGCTTCAAGAACGGTCTTTTTTCAAGATGTTGTAACATAGATTGATCTTTCTTCACTCATAGGTGGTCTCTCGGTGCTATAATGTACGAAATGCTTGTGGGATATCCACCTTTTTATTCTGATGATCCCATGTCAACCTGTAGGAAGGTAATATATCAGTCAAGCTCACTATCACATGGTGAAGTTAAAAACCCATGCTTTGCATTCTCTTGATATTAAATAAATATGTGATCTTTTCTGTTTTTGTGGTCAAACAAGTAGATAGTGAACTGGAGAGCACATCTGAAGTTTCTGGAAGAAGCGAAACTGTCCCCTGAAGCCAAAGACCTGATCAGCAAACTACTTTGTGATGTAACCAAGAGGCTTGGATCAAATGGTGCTGGCGAAATAAAGGTGTTTTTTTATGGTTTTGTATTGAGTTATGTGCGCGTTCTTGTGGATGATAGGTTTCATTTACTAAAAGTCTGCCTCTTTCTACACACCACCCTACATTTTGTGGGATTTTGTTGGGTTTGTTGTCATCATAATACAGGCACATCCTTGGTTTCGTGGAGTCGATTGGAATAGAATATATCATATGGAAGCTGCTTTCATACCTGAAGTCACGGGCGAGCTCGACACACAGAACTTTGAAAAGTTTGAGGAGGTACTGTTTTTCCCTTTCTTGACCCTCTAGGGAACATCCTCTCTACCCTTGGGGTAGAGTTATGGTCTACGTATATCATCCCAGACCCTACTCTGGGTATGTTTCGTTTGGTTTCAAAGCAAACACACGCTCACGTTTGATTAGTTGTATTATGATGATTAGTAGTACTCTTTTCCCATTGTCATCCTCTTTTCCTAGTGTTCTTTTCCCGTGATCCAAACGATCCCTTTGTGTTTCGTTATTTTTCTGTGACGCAGTCTGAAATCCAAGCTCACTCTTCATCAAGGTCTGGGCAATGGAGAAAGGTACCATACAGTGTTTGCATCATATTCATATTATTTCAACGTTTCATCCCCAAACAGCACCTAATAATCTGCCATAACTTGCTGCCAAACGGGGCCTTAGTTTCAATATATCTCACCCCCCCCCCCCAAAACCCACCATGCAGATGTTGTCCTCTAAAGATGTTAACTTTGTGGGGTACACCTACAAGAATTTTGAGATAGTGAATGATTATCAAGTTCCTGGAATGGCAGAACTCAAGAAAACTTCCAAGCCAAAGAGGCCAACCATCAAGTCACTCTTTGGTATGCATGCTTTAAAC